TTAGAAAACCACCCGTAGCTGTAAGAATTAGCCTCCTGGTATAGGTGCACCTAGGAAATGCATTGCCTAGGATAGTAAATGCACCTAGCCTAGGTGTACCCAGTGATCTAGGCTAGAATCACTTGAGGGTCTCTGGATTAATATAGCATCAATGATGAAATAAACTGTTATCTAATACATATAATATTAATAATAATGCATATATAATACTTTAAACTCCTTTTCTTCAGGCCGATGACAGCTGCTGCGTGGAGGAGTGAACATGGTTGTTGTAGGCGAACTCCGCGGCCGGAATCAGCTCATCCCAGTCGTCCTGCTGGTAGTTGGTGAAGATCCGCAAGTACTGCTCCAGCTCCTGGTTGACGCGCTCTGTCTGACCGTCTGTCTGCGGGTGGTACGCGGTGGACGTGGCGGGCTTGATGCCGATTAGACGCCAAAGTTCTTGGGTGAAGTCCGCGATGAACTGCGAGCCGCGGTCGGAGACGTACTTCTCCGGAGTCCCATGGTGCCGCCAGACATTCCGGTAGTAGAGGCGGGCTGCCCCTACTGCATCGACCGTCGTATGACACTCCGAGAAGTGGGCGCTTTCCGAGGGTGTCAACGACGACCATGATCGCGTCGTACCCATGGGCTTCGGGAAGCTCTACGATGAAGTCGACGGAGATGGTATGCCAGCGTTCCGGGGGCGTTTCCGTGGGGTGCAGTTCTCCGTGGGGCAGTCTCTGGAGTGCCTTGGTGCGACAGCACAAGTCACAGGTCGCAACATACCGGCCGATATGGCGCGACATCTGAGGCCGCCAGTAGTTCCGGGAGACCAACTCCAAGGTCTTGAAACGACCTGCATGTCCGGCGACTCGGGTGTCATGGCAGAGCTCGATGATGCGTCTCCGGAGGTCCTTGTCCTTTGGTACAACGATCTTCCCTCGGAAATGGAGAAGACCGCCGGGAACGGCCCACTCGTCAGACCGTGAGGAGCGGGGGCCTCGAGCTTGACCTTGAACCTTAAGAAGTTGCCGGGCCACTAGTGCGACGGGCTCCTCCAGGTCAGGCTCACCGGAGAGGGCATCACGGATGTCACGGAGGAGTTCAGAGCCGGGACCGAAACGGAAACGCCCTCGAGTGCGCGGACGTGGAAGAGTTCAGGCCGCAAAAGGACGACGTCGGAGTTGTCGGAATCGACTCCGTGGTCGGGTCTCCGGGAGAGGGCGTCAGGCCGACCCATATTGCGGCCAGGCTTGTGATGCAGCGTGAAGTCGAACCGGGAGAGGTACAGAGACCACCGGGCCTGTCTCCAGTTGAGGTGCTGCGTCTTCCTGAAGTACTCCAAATTCTTATGGTCAGTCCAAATCTCGACAGGGTGCGCGGCGCCCTCGAGGAAGTGTCTATACTCCTCGAGTGCGCGGATGATCGCGAGCATCTCCTTGTCGTGGATTTCGTAGTTGCGCTGGACATCATTTAAGCTTTTGGAATAGAATGCTACAGGGTGCCACTTCCCGTCCGGGGCGGATTGTGAAAGAACCGCCCCCCGTCGCATAATCAGAGCTGTCCGCCTCGAGTCGGAAAGGCCGCGTGTCGTCCGGAATCGCCAGGACCGGTTCCAAGGTGACTGCGTCCTTGATTGCTTGGAACGCGGAGGCCTCCGCGTCGCCCCAAGTCCATTGCTGGTCCTTCTTGGTGAGCACGAAAAGTGGGCGCGCAAGTGTCGAGAAGTCCCGAATGAACCTGCGGTAGAAGTTAGCGAACCCAAGGAACTGCTGAATGTCCTTCTTGTTTTCTGGAGTCGGCCAAGCGGAGACGCCTGCGACTTTGACGGGGTCCATTTCGACGTGGTTGTGGGAGATGATGACTCCGAGGTACTCGATTGACGATTTTTCAAAGTCGCACTTCTCCGCTCGAAGGTACAACTTGTGCTCTCGAAGTCGCCGTAAGACCTCCTGGACAATCTGCCGGTGTTTCCGGAGGTCGGAATGGGCGATCAGGATGTCGTCAAGGTAGATCATGACGTCTCCGGAGAGGATGAGGTCCTGGAAAATGTCATTCATCATCGTTTGGAACGTCGCGGGAGAGTTTGTCAGGCCAAAATACATCACCAAGGGCTCGAACAGGCCTCGGTTAGTCTGGAAAGCCGCTTTCCACTCGTCACCTTCCTTGATCCGGACGTTGTTGAAGCCTCAACGGACGTCGAGTTTGGTGAAGTAACGAGCGCCTTTGAGCCGGTTGATGAGGTTGTTAATCAGCGGAAGGGGGTACCGAGGCCTGAGATCAAGGTCCTAGCAGGGGAGGATCCAAAGCGTGAACATTGGTAAGCGAATACAAATGAAGCTGACCTAGCAGGGGAGGATCCAAAGAGAAGAAACTCTAAGGGTCCACCTGCTAGGTAGCTGACTATATACTGCTTGTCCGTAGCTGCCGCTGTCGGGCACAGAAGGCTTGGGCGGCGTCGCAGGTGAGGTCCCAGGGCGACCGTCGGGAGGGCGTTGATGGATCGGTGATTGTGCGGGCGAGATGGAGGGCCGGACCGGAGTCGGAACCAGAGTCGGACCGGAATCGGGCGCGTCTCCGGGCCGAAAGGGAGGTTCCCCTGACACCTGCTAGGACCTTGATCTCAGGCCTCCAGGGTTGCCCTTACACCAGCCACTTGGTTTTCCTTTGGACTTTCTGTTACTTTCCTTTAGTCTCTGCATAGCACTCAACAGATAATTATTCAACCAGAGTTTCACACACTCCCCAAATGTTAGTAAAGTGTCCACAACTAAGATATAAGATGAACGAAAAGTGTAGAAGTCAAAATAGATTGTATATAAGCATAAATAAGAGATGAAGAAGAGAACTAGAGAGGTAGGTGGGTATCGGTGGAAATAGGTGGGAAAAATAGTGTGTGACATTGACATCTATTTTTCTTTCATCACAAGCAAACTGCCAGTACGCTGAGAATAGGTAGATAGATCCTCAGAGTTAAATTGTCCTGACTGCCATGCTAGCACCTCTGCTTCTTGCATATCAGCCTCATCATGATTTCCTAGATGCCTGTATGTTTCAGCTAAATCAGCTCTTATCCTGATAGTATCATGATGCTCAGGACCAAACAGGAAAGTACATCTCTCTAATATTTCTTTCTCAACTATCTGTGCCTCAGTAAACTTCTGTTGAGCTTTATATGTTATAACTAGGTGTGCCTGTGCATGAATGGTATGTGGATGATCAGGACCAAGCACATGCAAGCGATGTTTTACTACTTCCATCTCTAGCACCTCAGCCTCAGCATACTGTTCTAGCTTGATATGGACTAGAGCTAAGGTAGCCTGTGCAAGAATGGTTTCTGGATCCTCACATCCAAGTAGCTGTGTGTATTGCTCAAAGACCGTCTTTAGTAATACTAAAGCATCATGATAATTGCCCCTTCTGTTATATGTTAAGGCCAATTTCTTTTGGATATGTAGAGTATCAAGATGATCAGGCCCAAGTAAATTCATGCGTAGCTTTAACACTTCCTCCTCAAGTATCTGAGCCTCCTGATACTTGCCAAGTGTAGTATAGGTCTCAGCTAGATCAGCTTGTGATTTAATAGTATCTGTATGCTCAGGCCCAAGTAAGTATGTCTGCTGCTTCAGGACTGTCTTATATAATCCCTGAGCCTCAATATACTTGCCCAAGCTCTTATAGGTTTTAGCTAGTCTGGCTTGTGTAGCAATAGTGAGTAGATGATCAGGACCAAGTAGATTTGTTTGCTGTTGGAGTATTGCTTCTCCAAGTGCCTTAGCCTTAGCATAATCACCTATATGTTCATAGGTTGAAGCCCAGCTATATTGACCCTCATCATCTGGTAGAGAATCAGGAATATGTAATTGGGAATGCTTTTCCAGCACTATTCTCTCAATTGTTTGAGCCTCTAAATCATTACCTAAAGCTCTATGGGTCACAGCTATATGAGCTTGTGTATGAATGGTTTGTGGATGGTCAGGGCCAAGTTGATTTGTGTACTGCTCAAAGATTGCTTCTACTAATACTAGAGCATCAGCATATCTACCCAACTTCATGTAGTTTGAGGCTAAGCGTTCTTGTGCAGCAATTGTATCAGGATCCTTGGAACCAAGCCAGCGTGTTAAATGCTCTATCACAGCCACATCTAGTAACTGAGCTTCATGATAATTTCCAAGCTCCATATGTGTCAAAGACAGATGGACTTTTGCATGGACAGTCTTAGGATGATCAGGGCCCAGAACATATGTACACTGTGTTAGCACTACTTCTTCTAAAGCTTGAGCTTGAAAATGTGATCCTAGATTCCCATAAATTTCACTTAATGCTATTTTTGCATCAATAGTCCTGAGATCATCATCTCCGACATACCACTGATACTTCTGCAACACTTCTACTGCCAGTGTCTCTGCATGCTTCCAGAATGTAGTTGCTCTGTATATTTCTCTAAGATCTTGCTGAAAGCCCAGTGAGAGTGGCACTGAAGAACTCAATTCTCTAGAGTGGGTGGCCAAGAGAAATTGGTTTTCTGGTTCATCATCATGACAATTGTGAGCAGCCATTCCTAGCAGGTTTAATACCAGCTGTTGCTGTGTGTACATATCATTGACTGTTTCCTTGGTCCATTCATGCACCAAAGGATGTATTGAGTACTTGTTACCCTGTGCTGATATCAAAGAATATTGTTGAATCATTTGCATAACCTCTTCAAATTGATATTTATCCCACTGTCCATCACTGCCTATGAAGTGAGCAAGGAAATTATATGCAGGCTGTAATTGCTGTGCGGTAATCTTCTCTGGATCATTCTGATCATCATCCTGCAAATCCAGGTTGTACTTTGATGCTAATGCAAAGATAGCTGGACTGATCCTGTCATAATGCATCATGCAGAGTACTTGCATCACTTCTTGTGCATGGCCAGGAAGGTTGTCAAAGCTAATTTTCCATGTTGTGTAGACAGTCTCCTTATAATTCCAGGGGACTTGCTTTGGCCTTGCATTCCAATGTTTTGCTTTGTTCTTCCTGTACATCTCTAGATAATCCATGGGCTTTGCTTTCAAAAGACAAGACTGTCGAATATATGCTGCTGCTTGGACAATAGCTAAAGGGAAAAGGTGCAGCTCCTTATTAATATCAATTGAGTAAACAATCATATTAATGATAACAATTCACTCACTTTGACAATTTGTTCAGCTACATCCATATCATTGACCATGGAAATGTTTGAGAACAAAGTGAGAGCTTCAGAGAGACTGAAATCAGTGATGTTGATTGACTTATCAGCCGTATGGATGCCTATGTCTGGATTACGTGATGTGATCAGAATATTCCCATGATTGCATTGGGGGAAATATTCTCTGATATTAATGTCCACATCATCAGCATTATCAAACAGAAGCAGCCATTCCTCTGTATGGCCAACTAGCCAAGTAAGAGCTTCAGACACTGAGATATCCAGGTTCTTGATTCTTGCAATGTCCATATAGCCTGTTTGGATGGTGTTGCTATCTGTTGCATCAATTTTGAATTGGTCTGTGAACCTTTTGTGATGTCAGATACAGTGGAAAATCTCAAAGCTTTCAACCAACCTGTTTCCGGCCATCTGAATAAACTTGAGGGCTGTCTCTGTTTTTCCTATCCCTCCAAGACCATGGAGAAGGACAATTTTCCTATCACCCTGGCTGCTAGCTCCAAATAGCTGTGTAAGCTCGTCCAGAATGTCTTCTCTACCAGTAAAGAAGTCACAGGGGGGCGGACATCCTTGATACATGGGAGAACTCATAACTGAGAATGTGATCGATTTCATGCGGAGCATCACTCTGAAGTTAAACTTACGACTGTGGCCGTAACTGTGGCCGTGATTGTGACTGTGATCGTGGCCGTGACTATGGCCATGACTATGACTGGAGAAATGTGCATTAGAATTTAGAAACATATGTCTTTAGAGATCCCAACACACCTATCGATATATAAGGAGTTTGTTCTGATAGAGAAGCTTGGACCCTGTCCAGCTCCGCCATTCCCTCCTCTGCCCTCTGCGGGCCCCGCCATTTCCTCCAGTCCCCCCTTCAAGACACAGTCAGGTTATTGATCCTTCTTCAATGGCGAGCAGAAATCCATACCGCTGACGCTCATCTGAATAATGTGGGTGCTCTGGGCGGCTACTATGTCGTGCGGGGAGCTCATTGTTGTCCGCGAAAAGTGGCAGAGATAGACTGGGGGGGAGAAGGAAAGAGAGGTGGTGTTCGCATGTCTGACCCCCCCTACATATCTGTCTGATCATGGCAGTGCTGTTTGCGCATGCATGCGCATCAATTGCCACCACAACGACGGTTTCCCGCTCCCACCATGCCAGCGTGCACGGCACCAGCAACAGCCGTGCATCCAGTGCTCACGGGCATATCGCGGGCAGCACCGTGACATATCCTGGCCACCGTCCACTGGCATCGGGCTGCTTCTCCAGCGCTGCGCTGTACGGCTCGTTGGCGCGGTGTCCCTCCACTGTGCCTCCATCGACACCCTTCCTTCAAGTTGAAACACCGAACACACCCCAGATGAGCTGGCACCGCAACACTAGACACTGGCAGATAGATCCCGTTCCGGACATCGATTCGAACTGGCTGTGCCCCCAACTACTTCTCTGCGCAGCTCGGATCTCCTGCTGTCCTCATACTCCCGCACGACCCCGCTCCGCGCGTGCTTCGCCTCCCGGACCCAGAAAGGTCCAGTACTTTCTACGAAGACCGTAATCCGAGAGAACGCGACCGCTGCCGCCACCGGTAGACGACCGCGTGTGCACTAAGGATTCCAGTGCGCTGCACCGTAGAAGGTGCCTGATAAGTTGGTGTAACCGAAAACGCGTATGGCAGACGAAGCGCAGACAACGAACCTGGGGAGAGCAAGCAAAGAGCAAGGAGCGGGGAGTCTAGACTGCCGGACAGGAGGAGGGGCCATCGATGCAGCACGGGCAAGCTCCTTCAAGTTCTCCGACGGCAATCGGATGGGATACAGCGGCGAGAGCGTCTGTGTGCGTGGCCATCGCGGTCCGAGAAAAAGGGCGGGGCTGACGTAACCCCGTCATTAACCCGGCTACACAGCTTGGTGCAACAACAGCGCCTTCTCCGCGCTCGCGACAAAGCCCCCGTCCCGTCGTTGCGGCTGCTGGGGACGACACTAACGCTGTCAGTCGACAAAAGCCAACGGATGGCGGCGCACCTTGAACAAGAGAGGAAGAACCTCACGGCCCACGGGTAAGCGCGGGCAGCCTCGGATTAGTAGGAATTACTTACCGTTTGCGGTGCGGAGACAAGTGGAACGGGGACGCTTCAGCAGCGTTGCTTCCGTTGCCGACAGCAACTTGAAGGTTGAAACCCATGGGCGCGCGGGCAACGCCAACGCCAACGACGACGGCTAGCGCGCAGAGCGGGGGGCCCGGGCGAAGGGTTAGTAAGCGCCGACCGGCCGGTGCCTCTCGCCACGCGGAATCACGCGCGGGTGCTACTGGGAAAGCGGGAAGCCGCTGGTACAGTCATGATTTCGCGCGCTTCAACTTGTCCTGGGCTGTCAGGTGGAGTCTTCTCGGACCGTCCGTCCGTCTCGCAATTCTGCTCTTCGACTGATCTTTGTTACCAATGACAACTGGTTGAAACGCTGCGCGGGCCATGGGAGTTGTGCGCTGCAGCTGTTGCCAGATATGCGCCGGCGACCAAACTCCACGCGCGTCATGTCCTGTCGAGGGGCACTGGCTGGCAGTCGTATGACTCTACCAGAGTCGTGACGCCGCCACTAGATGAGACGCTGCCCGCAAGACGCCGAGACGTTGAAGCAAGCATGGAAGCGAAAGGCCACCGTTGGCCACGAGCCCAGGAATAGCCCGGAACAAGCAGACGAAGGGCAGGGGGGCGGGGCTTCAAATTGGACATGCGAATGGGTCTGGAGAGCAGGCTGAGCGTGTGCGCGGCGCCCTCCCCAGTTTTGCACGTAGCTGGAGTGGACCGCGGCTCGAGCGTGATGGGCGGGATGGAAGGATGATTCAAAGTAAGCAGGGAGGAGCGAGCGAGCGGGGTACCCCGTCGACGTCAGTGGACCGTGAATCGACGCCCGGAACGTTAACGGGAACCGGCGGATGTACTCGGTTGCGGTGGCCTGGGTACCGCGCAGCCTGCGCCTGTCAAGCTATCGTGATTCGTCATGAGGACTTGGACTCTTCGCGGACCGCCCGTTTCGGAGTGCTGCTGTTCGATTGGGCTCTGTTATCACCTGGTTCAAAAGCCGCCTATGTCCTGTCGAACTTAGGGCAGTCATACGATGACACCGCATGAGACACGGCCGGTAAGACGCAGCTTCAAAAAAAGTTGCAGCGGTTATTGCTTTGGCGGGAGGGCGAGAGCCAGAAGAATGGACGCTGGGCGGGAACTTGAAGGTGCCGTGTGCCGCTACTACAGGCCACGAGCCCGGCATAACCTGGAGTAAAAAGATGAAGGGCAGCGGGGCGGGGCTTCTTCCAATTTGACATGCGAATGTGTCGCCGAGTGATACTCGTCTACTAGTATTGCGCGGCGCTCGCCAGCCTCGCCAGCCTCGCCTGTCGTGCTCGTAAGTGCAGCATTTTCACAGAAGGTACCACCCTTGAGTGGGGTTTGAGCTTCATGTTTGTGGGCCCGGGCCAATGCCCGTCAATAGTGGATGCAAAGTTGCGGCGGAAGTCCAGACTGTCCGAGGAAGGAGAAGCCAAGAGTGATTGATGTCAGTCACAGGCTGACAACCGTGCAAAGTATCAAGCAGCTGATCCCGCCATCGATAAGGCCATGCCACGCGTACGGGGGCAGCACGGTCCTTGTCCGCATACCACCATCACTCCCCCCACTCTGCTACTATCCCCAGCTATGGACAGAATAACACATGCGATGGCAGGTGCTAGTTTCAACATAAGTGGTGTGTATATGCAGAATGTCGTGATCGACACACAGCTCAACTCTACCTGAATAGGCGGCCAAGGCGGCCGGGGTGGAGGAGAAGCTGGAGGGACCGGTGGAGAGGGTGGTATTGGCGATGGTCCAACCATTACTGGGAGCTTTAATACCAACTACTATCAATCAGGTCCAGGGTGAGTTGTGCATGCCCTGATAAACTGCAAATTAGTCTGATGTCTAGTATAGAAATGCACAACCTCTCAGTGAGAAATACTATCATAGTCATTATGTTATATAGGCTAAACTTTTACAGGACCACATTATGGATGTCCTCCTCCTGCTGAAACCTTTATAGGCCGTGCAGACACTTTGACCAAGTTGAAAGAGTTCTTTGGGGACACAAGTCAAGATGGCCAGAAGAAAGTGTTATTGCATGGCCTAGGTGGAATAGGGAAAACACAAATTGCACTCAAATTTATTGCAGACTCAGGTTCAAGGTAAGAGCACTTTGTCAGAGCTGAAAATCAAATGAGATTTATGATACCAGGTTCACTGATCAATTCAAGATAGATGCAAGCAATGCAAATACTATTGATATAGGGTATAAGGAAATTGCCAGGATCAAGAACCAAGAGGTCTCAAGTCAGGTTGCCTGTACATGGCTTGTTAATAATCCTGATGAATGGCTCATCCTCTTTGATAATGCTGATGATGTTAAACTCAACCTTGGAAACTATATTCCTCATTGCAACCATGGAAATATCCTCATCACATCCCGCAATCCAGAGCTCCATGTCCATACAAGAGACAGAGCTATTGAAATGTCTAATTTGCCCCTCCAAGAGGCAATCACTTTAATCTGTGAGGTTGCCCATATCAATGACAGCAGTACTGTAAAGGAATTAGCACAAGTGAGATATTTTTAATTTATTATGTTGTGTAATTTTTATATACTCTAGGAGCTTGACTGCTTCCCTCTAGCACTGGCCCAAGCAGCAGCTTTCATTTCACAGTCTCGAAAGTTAAAAGAGGACCCATCCAAGTATCTTGACCTATATAGGACAAACAAGCAGAAATACTGGAAGGAGAAACCTGCCCAGATTGTGTGGGACTATAATGCTACAGTCTATACGACTTGGAGAGTTAGCTTTGAAAAGTTGTCCAGTATTGCACAAGAAGTTTTGCAAGTATGCTCTTTAATGCACAACAGTCAAATTACGGAGGCTATCTTTGTGAATGCATCGAAATATGAATGGAATGTATCAAAATCACAGGACTTGGGGGAGGATGGAGAGATACCAGAAGCATTTCCCAAAGTCAAGCAATTATTGTCCCATTTCTTGCATGAGAATAAGCAGTGGGATGAGTTGGCATTCGAGAAGACTATGACATCTATTGAAGCTTACTCCTTGATCAGTCATAGGGAGGATGGATATTATATACACCCCTTGGTTCATGAGTGGACAAGATCAACAGTTTCTCATTTGAGCAATCATCTTGACATGGTTGTAAACTTACTAGGAATGTCTGCTATTAGTTCATCAGAAGCACATTACAGGAATTTGGCAAGACATTTTCAAAAAGTGGTCTCACGACCAGAAGAGATCCCTAGGGCTTTCCAATGGATAATGCAGAACATATATTTTGAGGCAGGATATTACATAGAGGCAGAAATACTAGGGAGGCTGGTCTGGCGGGAAAGAATGAGCACATTAGGCTCAGATAATCTAGAGGTTGTTTCGGCAGGGCTGTGGCTTGCTGCAGCACTTAATAGGGTGGGCAAGTATACAGAAGCTCATGAGTTACAGAAACAGGTGGTGGAGCAGCGGACAAAAATCCTAGGACCAGATCATCTCCAGACTCTTTTAGCTATGTACTGGCTTGCAATATCACTTCATCAATTAGGCAAGTACACAGAGGCTCAGGAGTTACAGAAACAGGTGGTGGAGCAGTGGACAAAAATCCTAGGACTACATCATCTCAACACTCTTTCAGCCATGTACTGGCTTGCAATATCACTTCATGAATTAGGCAAGTACACAGAGGCTCAGGAGTTACAGAAACAGGTGGTGGAGCAGCGGACAAAAATCCTAGGACCAGATCATCTCCAGACTCTTTTAGCTATGTACTGGCTTGCAATATCACTTTATAAATTAGGCAAGTACACAGAGGCTCAGGAGTTACAGAAACAGGTGGTGGAGCAGCGGACAAAAATCCTAGGACCAGATCATCTTGAGACTCTTTCAGCCATGTACTGGCTTGCAATATCACTTTATGAATTAGGCAAGTACACAGAGGCTCAGGAGTCACAGAAACAGGTGGTGGAGCAGTGGACAAAAATCCTAGGACCAGATCATCTCCAGACTCTTTCAGCCATGTACTGGCTTGCAATATCACTTCATAAATTAGGCAAGTACACAGAGGCTCAGGAGTTACAGAAACAGGTGGTGGAGCAGTGGACAAAAATCCTAGGACCAGATCATCTCAAAACTCTTTTAGCCATGCACTGGCTTGCAATATCACTTTATGAATTAGGCAAGTACACAGAGGCTCAGGAGTTACAGAAACAGGTAGTGGAGCAGTGGACAAAAATCCTAGGACCAGACCACCTTGACACCCTTTCAGCCATGTGGTGGCTTGGAATGTCACTTAGTGAATCGGATAAGCAGAGCAGCAGATGAAACTCTTGGAGCTTAACAATCTTGATATTATTAGAGCAAATGCCTGGCTTACCAGTGCCATGCAATAATTAAGCAAGTGCTCAAGATTTCGAAGAATAAATTGCAAAGAACCAGACAAAAATCATTATGCTAGATAATTATTTCACCACTGATGTAATAGATTAGGTCGCAATGTCACTTCATGAATTGGGCTGATAAACAGAGGCTCAGAAGTCAGCAACAAGCTGTGAGTGTAGACAAAATAGCTTCGGTCTCCCTTGGACCATCCGAGCACATCCAAGGCGCATTCGACTGGTGCCCCCTCGGACGCTCCGACCCACCCCAACCATCGTCCACGGCCTCCTTTGCCCACACAATCACC